TCACTCGAAACCTTATTATAAATTTGGGATCGTACGGGTCAAGGAAAATGCCGCTATCTGGGCAAGAGCATTGGCTCGAGCCACCTAATTGCAACCACTTTAATGGCGCACCCCCCCCACGAGCCCCACTTAATCATTGATTAATGGGGGGGAGCTCGTTCTCGAATTGCGTCGTTGCAAAGTTGGACATTTTTGTCACGCGTTGACTTCGCGGGCTACTGGCCAATGGAAAGCACGAGGACAGATCTCGGCAGCTCGATTAAAATTCGAGTTTTTCCCCCTGCCCTTTTAAAATCGAGGCTCGGTATCACAAAAAAAATCTTAAATCGGTATAATGAATTTATCAGGAATTAATTTTTTGATTACTAAAAAATCTCAATTTGGTACGTTTACGATAAATTTACCCTCCTTTAATTTTCATTAAATTGGATTAATATCGCGAAAAAATCAAACTGGTATGCATGTGACAAACAGAGGGTAAAACCCCAAATTGATACACCCGTCAACTACCACTTGTCATTCAACTTAGCAATTTGACGGTAAAATTTAACGGAAACTAACGTAGATTAAATTTGCCACAAGTGTACCAATTTTGGGGTTTTTTATGGTCAAAAATTTTGTTTGGGATAAGTTTATTACAGGTGTACCAGTCTGGGGTTTTTCGTGGTACTAACCCTAAAATCAATTCGTTTTTCGTTCTTTATCGTTTTTTACTTTCTATTTTTCTAGCCCGCGTGCGTTGATGAATAAGTTTCGCCCTATTGAATTTGATTTTTCGCACGCCGCGACAAGCGACAATAGTTAATTAACTCTTTTGCTTCATTATGTAGCGGCGATGGGCTTTAGATTTACACCCTCTCTTCGATTTTTAGCTTAAGCTCACGTCGAGCACTTAACTTACACTGTATTGGGTACGACTTTCTAATGATAACCGCGGTTATGAAAACAAGTGTGAACCGATTTTACCAAGCATTATTTACAGCTAGTTAAAATTTACGTACAAGCGATATCCATTACTATAAAATACACTTGGAACATCATAATGTGGTCCGCGGTTGATTGTTGACTTTGAAAATCGGATTGCTTATTTGCTTTTGCTTAGGTATTCTCTATTCATTTATTAAACAGCATGATGACGGTAGTTGTAAACATTTTAAAGTAAGTTGTGGCTGACTTTAAAACGCAGGTATGGCCGAAACTGCCGTTTGATATCTCGATATTTTGAAAAAAAAAAAAAAATTCCCTTTTAATTTTTTGTTTGTGGGAAATGCCAGTCTTCAGCAAATTTTTTTTTTTGTTGTTGCTCGAACAGGTATGCCAAATTTCAACTTATATAACGTAAACTATAGCAGAAAATAAAGAAGAAAGTCTTGTTGATGTTATTCACGCCGGAGGAGGTTCGCTTATACCGGATATGTCATCAATTAATTGAGGAGACATAGTCAAGTCCCTTATTCAGTGTCTCCTAAATCTACAAGAGACGTTTTTTTTTTTTCTTTTTCCTATCGATTGTCGTCCATATTCAACATTTGTGACTATAAAAATTAAGCACACCCTGTGTTTGGCGCAAATGATAACTGTTCTATAATTCCTTAAATGAGTTTCTGAGTAAAAATATACGTTTGATAATAAAACAAAATTTCTGTTCACAAAAATTCGTTCGATAACGATACAAAATTTTTCCCTCTCGAGTGGCCGGCGGATGGATAGCAGGCGGGTGGCGGCTAGTGTTGGGCGGGTGATGGGTGGCGCCAGGAGGTGGTCGGCGTTGGGCGAGTGGCGACGAACGACGGCTGATGGCGAAGGACGACAAATGGCTGTAGGAGGCAGACGACGGAGGATGAGGGGTAGCAATGGGAGGTGCCTGACAATGGGAGGCGGGAGGTGGGGGGCGGGCAGCCGGGAGGGTGAACGATTATAAGAGTTTTTATTTCTTATTTCTATTCTAAAAATAAAAAATTCTGTTCCAAACCTATTTTTAAAGTCAAAATTTGTTCCAGAAATAGAGAAATGAAATTGCTTTACCAAACGGATTTATTTTCCAAACTTGTTCTCGGAACAAAAAAACCAAAAAACAAAAAAATAAAATAATTATCATGCGTGCCCTTTGTGTTTTTTTATTCAACCTAGAAACTTCGAGTTTGGGGCTTAATTTGAATTCGCAATAAGTCGGACTTAACCAACAATAACGGGGCCGAGATCGAGCTTACAAAATATTTCGTAAACTCAAAGGTGGCTCGATTCGAATAACTAAACTAAGGTTTCGTCTGTTTCGCGGAAAATACATGGTTTGGAAAACGTTTTCCAAAAAACGATCGATTGTATCGCTTGCGAAAATAAATGAATGCAAAACACTTTCACTATATACAAAAAATGTCCAGACATGATTTGTGTCAATAATGATCACATTTTTTCATTGACTACTTATTTCAAACTAGACAAGCGATTATTTTTTTTTTGAAAATGTTTTTCTAAATCATTCGTTTTCCGTGGAAACAAATAGAGCCTAAATTAAGCCCGGAGTTTGGATTAGATGATACGACACGAATAATCGATTAGGGTTATTACTACAAAAAAGCCCAAAACTAATGTACCCGTATCAAATTTAGCAAAAACTAATGTTTTGACTACAAAAATCAGTACATTTATGACAAATTTACTCTCGGTTAAATTGGATTAATATCACGAAAAATAAAAAACTGATAAATCTGTATTGGTAAAATCCTAAACTGGTACACCTGTTAACTGTTACGTATCATCCAACTCAGCAATTCGATTGAAAGGTTTTTATTTTTTGGCTTTTTTTGGGTCGAATGAGTTGGTAGTGTTGATAAAAATAAACAAAAGTTGGGTGTGGCTTTTGGCGACGGGGGAGAGGTTCGTGGGTGGAGACAAGATCCCAGAGCGACACGTAAGCAAGGCTGAAAAGGGTCGTCCCTGATTGGGCGGAGGGGCGGCGAACCGGTGCGCTGACGTCGGACGCAGCTGGTCGCAACGTGACAAAAGTAGGGGAGGTTCGCACTTGAGTCACCGACCGATTGGCCTCATCGCTTCAACTCCTCCTTCACCCAAAAAAAGAAAAGAAAAGAAAAAAAAGAAGAAGAAAAGAATATTCCCTACTTTCAACTTCTGCCGCTATTCCTCCCGCGTATTTACGCCTCCTTGCCACTGCTCTCTTTTGGGGGTATCATCGTCGATTGGCTCCTGATTTTGGGTAAAATTCGTGGTTTTTTTTTGGGGCACGATGAACATGTCGCGAGCGTTTCGATTCGATCTAATAGGTTGACGATGCGTCGATTAGATTGAGATTGAAATGCCTTCAATTCGACGGCGATTGGGCCGGTTGCGTGATGATTTTGCCGTGTTTAGAGACGAGGGAATCGGGCGAATCTTCTTTTCATTTTCCTTGGAATGAAATGAGTTTTATTTCCTCTCGTCGGTCGCGATAATACAATGAAGAGATTGTCACTTAGAGCGGGGACTTAGCCTTAACGACAATCCGCTCTCGCCGACACCTTAAATTGAAGAAATCGTTTGATTTGAGCATAAAATGTGTTAAAAATGCATTTGAGATAGCTAAGTGGGTCGACATAGTTTTTTGTCGCGTGTTTCCCCGTTCGCGGCACGAACCCCTTTACGCCGGAACCCATATCCGTTTAGCCACAATCTATACGAACGAGTCGTTTCAAGAACTGTCGGTCTTACCTGACCAAAGAAATCTCGGCAGTCTGCGATGCGCCCAGTTACCTCGGGCGATGCATAATCGCAGCTTCTTTAGAGAACGAATCGTTCCTCAGTTAACATGCTCAACAGAACCCATCTAATCCTTCTTCCTAAATATCCATCCAAAGGGTCTAGGACTCGAGAAGAGAGAGAGAGAGAGAGGGAGGGCTTAGCGAGTTGAGGTAGGGCATGCCCCCAAACCCCAAGAGAAGCGCCATCAAATTAACACCTCTCATCACCACCCAAAATTTAACCCTATCTTTAATCATCGCAAGGGCGATCGACGGACACCATCATGTAAAAAAAACCCAACACAAAAATCGCAAGAATTAGATCGATCCGACAGTTATTAATCCCCCCCACCCTTTTGGCAATCCCTGTTCGAGAACAGTGCTTTAGATTCCCACAACAGCTAAGAAACACAATAACACCGCGAGAGGTTCCTATCGTGGCCACGCCCCCACCCCCCCCTCCTCCCCTTTTCTATTTATCCCATTTGGTTTAAATTAAACCAACTCGATTTATTTTGTCTATTCAACTTTAATAATAATAATAATAATAATTTATTTTTTTATCTCGAGCTACCCTTTGTCCTCGAATTGCAATTTGGGCGAAGTAGCGGGGGCTGGGGGGGGGGGGGGGCATCCGATGCCCAATTTGGCCGAGTCGGCACGGGACGGTCCCCGAAGTTTCTGGGGCCCATGCAGGGGTACTTTGGTCCACTGAGAAGTACAGCCGCTCCACACAAACTCTCCATCGAACAAATTTGCGAGTGGGACGGGGACGGGGACGGGGACGAGGAGCTAGCGTGTAGAACCTGTGCGGTACGCCTCTTGCGGATAGTGGGTGGGGGGGGGGGGGATGTGAACACAACCCCAAAAAGATTTCTTTATTTCTAATTTTAAAAACGAATAATCGATTCGCCAAATTAATCGATTACTTTAATGAAAAAATAGTAATGCTCGAGCGAGTAATGTGATTATCGCGCTTCTAACAGTACCGGACCATGTTGACATGATGTCGAGAGTTATGACCATGGACGGGCGTCGGGCACTAAACTTGTTTTGGACGGTGAAATTTTTACGGCTTATCCTTGCTCACTCCCTGTCCTTCTGTCCAATAGGCGAAATTTCCGCTAATAAAATATATATAATGATATATATATATATATATATATTTGATTTTACTGGAATTTTTTAAAACGTAATAATTTCGTTCTTGGGATGGAGAGAGTACAGGAAGCCGGGAAGGGATAATGGCCTGTGCACAACACCAGCGAACATCATATTCTTCTATTGTTGCTTTCGCAAATTCTTCTCTCCTTCCTTTCTTTCTTTCTAGCTTTCTTTGCTCCTGCTGCTCCTCCGCCTCGGCGTCGTCCCTCCGTGCTCTCCCTCCTCCTCGGCTTCCCGACATCTCCCATAATTCTTTCTAGCGCCATATTGTTTTCGAGTCCTTGACTGTTTGGTTGTTGTTCTGTTCAGTAAAGTTTTCACTTCAAGAGGGTCAGTACATATCCACATGGTGGATTTGTTCCCGCTTCGTATGATTTCGGGTTATTAAAACTGCTGCCCCCTGACTAGATTTCCGGGAAAGATTCCCCGTGGGGGTTGTGTGTTTCGGTTTCCGGTTAAAATAGGTAGATTAGTTATTCTTGTTACCAATTAGCAACAGCCCACCTCTCTCTCGTTCTGGGGTTTTAGTGGGCGGTTTAACGGGGGGGGTGTGAAATCACACTCTGCTGGACTTGGAAATCAAGAATTCAGGGTCCTTCTGATCCATTTGTCTTTCTGGGTTGGTGAGTTCGGGGTCTTTCTTTTGGGTTTGGTGCTTCATCTGGCATTTCTTGAGTTGTGGGTGTGTGTTCTTGGCTAGAGGTAAGAGCGCCCTCCCCCTCCCCCACCTTCCTTCCTTGTTCCTTTTTTTTTTTTTTTTAACAAATCTGGTCACTCTTCTGATTTGGCCCTTTTAAGTACTTGTTGCTGAGCTGGGTTGAGTCCCTGTTGTGGATGAGTTTGCTCCATGTACTCGGTTTCGGTCTGAAGGTGGGGCATCTACTATGGGTGCTATGTTACTGGGTCGTGTCCTTGATTTCCAAGAATTGGTTGGTTTTTGGTGGTGAAATGACCAAGGCTGGTTTTCTTGGCGATGGAGGCAAAATGTCACTGAATTGGTTGGAGAAGGTATTGGGGAATGCTTACAAGATCCACCACAGCCCTAACAACCAGCAAGCTGGGTCTAAGAGATTCAGGAAGACTTGGTGGAGGAAGTTTTTGTTCATATGGGTCATCGGTTGGATCATCTTTTCGCTCTGGATCTTCTGGTACTTGAGCTCGCAGGCCGCAGAGAAGAGGAGAGAGACCCTCGGTAGCATGTGCGATGAAAGAGCTAGAATGTTGCAGGACCAGTTTAATGTCAGCATGAACCATGTCCAAGCCATGTCCATTCTGATCTCCACTTTCCACCATGGCAAGGACCCTTCCGCTATTGATCAGGTAAATCTTGTTTTCTGAGTGCTTCAATCTAATAAAGTTAATTTGTTTTATCCCATTTTGTTTTCTACTTGCCTAAGTCAGATAGCTTCCCTGATCGCAGGACCATCTGATATTAAATACTGTTCGCCTTTAAGAGGGCTAATTTCATATAGATGCTTGGTTTGCACCGATATTTGTGAATTTAGCTGACTTGATAGGATGCCATATTCGGGACATTTCACTTTTCTGAATTCTACTTGGAAAGCTAATGTGGGCAAATGCTTTATCATCATGTTACTGAAATTCTAAAAATTAATTTCTGTCTCAATGAATCTGATCTTGACGTACTAGCCGATTTTAGTTTTCTTAATTAGTGATCAGCAGCAAAAGCTAATCGTTTGTGACTGACAGAGGACCTTCGCAAGGTACACGGAAAGAACTGCCTTTGAGAGGCCTCTCACAAGTTTTGTCGCCTATGCCGTTAGAGTGCTCCATTCTGACAGGGAAGAGTTTGAGAAGGCACAAGGTTGGAAAATTAAGAGGATGGATACCCTTGAAGAAACCCCAGTTCCCAAGGATGACTATGATCTTGAAGGACAGGAACCGTCCCCAGTTCAGGAAGAATACGCGCCAGTCATCTTTGCACAAGATACCATTTCACATGTTGTTTCTCTTGATATGCTTTCTGGAAAGGTGAATTTCCTTTCAATTGTATGTGGGCAGATTCTAGCCTTAGTGGCAACCTATACTAAAACCTACTTATACCGCGTGCCTCGTACATTTTTCTTCTTATGCATTGTCATAATTGGCATGTCGTTTTGAGTTGTTGTGATCTTTATTCTAGCATTTTACAATTTCTCCCCCCACCTTTTGTTTGATAACATTTTGCTCGTGGGCTTTAATATTTTCTCATAATTTCCATCAACTAGGAAGACCGTGAAAATGTTTTACGTGCAAGATCTTCTGGAAAAGGGGTCTTGACGGCTCCATTTAGGTTAATTAAAACAAGCAGCCTTGGAGTTATATTGACCTTTGCCGTATACAATAAGGATCTGCCACCAAATGCCACTCCTGAGGAGAGAATTGAGGCAACTGACGGGTAATGTTCTCCTTCTTGGTTGGTTCTCTTGCTATGAAGGCACGCATAAATAGGAGTGATGACGGGGCTTATCAGGCAGATATTGTGGCTTCCTAACATTTGCAGTGCTCTAAAGCAGGTACCTTGGCGGGGTCTTCCATATTGAATCACTAGTAGAGAAGTTGCTTCAACAACTTGCGAGCAAGCAGACAATTGTTGTGAATGTATATGACACCACCAATTGGTCACATCCAATCAGCATGTATGGTTCAGATGTATCGGAAGATTTTCTAGCGCATGTCAGTACTCTCAATTTTGGAGATCCGTTCAGGAAGCATGAGATGCGCTGCAGGTAATTGTTTTCGTTCCTTGCAGATACTTATGGTGTTCATCTAACTCGTGCATTGCTCTTTTTGACTATATGGTCAAGAAGCCCCTTGGCCAAGGTGTTAGATGAGGTATATAGTGCTTTAGGTCCTCTCATGGCCGGCCTAGCCCCTTTTTCTGATGTGTGGTCCATGCATCACTTGGACTGTTGGATATTGGCTTAGTTGGCTAGAGGCCCTTACTATCCGTTCAGGAAAGATGTCATGCACTGGAAATAAGTGAAAGTTCTGTGATTCACTGAGATGGAAGTTTCGGTGTTTATCATAGGATCTGTGATAGCCACAATTGTTGTGATGTTCTTGTGAGATTTTGTGGGAGTACTGTCAACTTTTTTAAAAGCTTAAGCTAAGCGTGGACATATTTAACTGGGGAGGCAAATAGGGGTCTAGGAAAGATTTGAACTCAGGACCTTCTGCTGTGATTCCATGTGAGATTTTGTGGGATCACCGCCAACTGTTCTAAAAGCTCAAGCTGTTAGATGAAGGCGTGGTTTAATATTTAAATATTCTATCAGTTCTAAATTCTGCAAGAGGGTACCTATATTATTTGTGGGAATGATCGATCCCTGTGATTTATAGAAACTTGCACAACTGACTTTTTAATGCAAACAGATTCAAACAAAAAGCACCATGGCCATGGCTTGCAATAACTACGTCAATTGGCATTCTTGTGATTGCGTTGCTTGTTGGGCATATTTTCCACGCAACAGTGAATCGAATTGCGAAAGTTGAAGATGACTACCATAAGATGATGGAACTTAAAAAGCGAGCGGAGGCAGCTGATGTGGCAAAGTCGCAGGTAATTCACGTTTTTGTCGATTATGTTTTGATTTAAAACATACTGAGCGATGCAGTAACAGATTTTGTTTTACCCTTTATAGTTTCTTGCTACTGTTTCGCATGAGATCAGAACCCCGATGAATGGAGTTCTAGGTGAGTGCGTGGACAAACTGTTTCTTTAAATTTTGCTTGGCATATGTAGGAATATATGTAATAAGTGAAGACCTTCACGTCCCATCATAACATGACAATGCTTGTATCGCAGGAATGTTGCATATGTTGATGGACACAGATCTAGATGAAACTCAACAAGATTATGTTAGAACTGCACAGGACAGTGGAAAAGCTTTGGTTTCACTTATAAATGAGGTCTTGGACCAAGCGAAGATCGAATCTGGTAAGATTGAGATTGAGGCTGTGCAGTTTGATCTAAGGGCCATATTGGATGATGTCTTGTCCCTCTTCTCCGGGAAATCTCAAGAAAAAGGAGTGGAGGTATTGACTGCCTTCGTTACATGGTACTGCTTATTCACCTGAGTCATTATCTGATAATTTCCACCCCTTCAAATCTGCAGCTAGCAGCTTACATTTCTGAACATGTTCCGGAGATGTTGATTGGTGATCCGGGGAGATTTCGGCAGATCATCACAAATCTTATGGGCAACTCAATTAAAGTAAGCCAATTGTTTAAGTGTGGTTCGCACATTTTCTGAGAACTTCGTTTATAAATCTGAGTTGCCAATATCATTCATGAGTAAAGTATCAAATTTGCCTGTGACCGACGCTAATGTAGAAATTAGAATGGTCACTGCTCTTGAAATCATCAACAAATGGAGGAAGAATTTTCAGAGAGGAATATGCCTTTTGAATGGAAGATTCGTAAATCCAGTCACACAAACTGACATTTAGTTTTCTAGGCTTTTCTCCTCTTCATCGTGTCTCAAATCTGCGGGGGACCATGGCAAGGGTTTCTTTTCGAGGATTTTGCTAAGCTAAAGCTTTTGTATCAAGGGTATAATTTTGTCAAGCTGCAACAAATGTGCTTTTGCACATTTAGAAAGGGAGTTTATCATATTTAATTTTCCAATGATGTGTGAATTTATTGCATTCTATTCATCTTCAGTGTCTCGTAAATATGAACTTTGAGTTAATAGTCGGTTCATAGTGCCCTTAGAAACTCATTTAGAAACCCTTTTCCAAACGTTGTTCTTGAATGGCAAGCAAAGACAGAAGTCAAAGGCGAATAATATATTGTACTTCAAAGTTTGATCAACTTGTTCCGTCAACTATTCATGGAAATTGTGTATCTCTTCAACACATTGATTTTTTTATAAGTTGTTTTGTTGGGTAACCGTATGACTATTGCTTTCCTTGCTAATTGGAATATGACTACCAGACTATGTGTATGTTCCCCTTCCTTGCTCATTGAAAAACATGACTAACAGACTGTATATATTCACCTTAGTTCACAGAGAAAGGGCATATCCTGGTCACAGTCCATCTTGTTCATGAGGTGATAAACTCAATTGATGCTGAGATGGAAGCAGCGACAGGGAGTACGCTGAGCGGCTTCCCAGTACCAGACAGACGACTGAGCTGGGAAAAATTTAGGACATTCAGCCAGGAAGGGCCTGTGTCTCCAGTGCCAACATCCTTCTCTAACCCAATCAATCTCATTATTTCAGTGGAGGATACAGGGATAGGTATTCCTACAGAGGCTCAATCCCGCGTTTTCACTCCTTTCATGCAAGTGCGCCCATCAATTTCTCGAACACATGGAGGCACGGGTATTGGGCTAAGCATAAGCAAATGTCTGGTTGGCCTCATGAATGGGGAGATTGGATTCGTAAGCATACCCCAGGTAGGATCCACCTTTACCTTTACTGCAGTTTTCGATGATGGCTGTTCTATCTCAAAAGAGTGCAAGGGCCAGCAAGTGAAAGGACGAGGTGACTCTGGCGCCTCCTCAGAGTTTCATGGTATGAAAGCACTGGTAGTTGACACAAGATCTGTCCGTGCCAACGTATCAAAGTATCATATCCAGAGGCTTGGTATTCATGTTGAAGTAGTTGCAGACTTGAACCAGTGCCTCCACGCCATTCAAAGTGGGAATGCCAGAACAGATATCGTGCTCTTGGAATGGGAAATTTGGCACAAGGACTCTGGTTTGTCGGCTATCTTTTTGGATAAATTGAGGGACATGAAGCCAGGGGTATCTCCATGGCTGTTTCTTCTGTCTAATTCTATCGGCTCTAGTAGGATGAGTGGTGCAACTTCAGATGCTACTGGTCCATTCGTGATCATGAAGCCTCTAAGGGCCGGTATGCTGGCTGCGTCTTTACAGCGAGTCATGGGAGTCGGAAACCGAATAAGTTGCTCTAATGGGGAGTCTCCAAGTCTGTATCTCCGCAACCTTCTCCGCGGCAGAAAAATCCTAATCGTGGATGACAACAAAGTAAACCTCAGAGTGGCTGAGGGAGCTTTGAAGAAATATGGAGCTGATGTGGTTTGTACAGAAAGCGGGGAAAAAGCAATTGCTTTGCTTAGACCACTGCATAATTTTGATGCCTGCTTCATGGATATCCAGATGCCAGGAATGGATGGGTATGGCATTTCCTGCTCAAGCACTTCTTTTTTTCATTGAATGTTGTAAAGAAAACGTATATGCTCGTCAATTCAGAGATTTGCTGTGTCTGATGTATTGGATTCGGATACCCTTTTCTATGTCAACTAGGTGGTGATAATGGATAAGTGCATCTAATGGTTTTATAATTCCTTTGTTCAGATTTGAAGCTACAAGGAGAATTCGACTGATGGAAAAAACTCTGAGCGAGGAATTCCCACTTGGAGAGTCATCCTCAGAGCCACGTCAAAATATCTCGAATTTCCACCTACCAATCTTGGCCATGACTGCAGATGTGATTCACGCTACTCATGAAGAATGCACAAAGTATGGAATGGATGGATATGTTTCAAAGCCATTTGAAGCGGAACAACTTTTTAGGGAAGTTTCGCGCTTTTTCCCAGTCATCATTGAATCGAAACTTGTAGAGAGGCCACCATAGAAGGCTACTTGTTTTGGTGAGCAGAAATCTTGGTTGTTGAGGCACTATGGCAGCCTTCCGGTGAACTTTGAAATTCTTTAACAAGAGTGAGTTTTCTCTAGCCTCTCCTTAGATATACACATTTCATGATCCTTCCTGCTTTTAGAGCAGTTGGATTTCCTTCTGATAGATGCAATTGAAATTTGCTGATATATTACGTGCGAAACCACATACCTTCTGTTGATTACTTGCGCATGTTTGGATTTCTCAGGTGCGTCTTGTCACGGGAGTGTGTATATAAAGAAGCTAAGGTCACCCGCTGGAGTTGAGTTTTCATCGATTTCCCTACGAGTGGCGTCTTGTTTCAAAACCACTTCAATTATTTATCTGTACAGCTGATCTAAACCGTTTGCAAGACTACGGTTGGTAATTAGGCAATCTGAAGTTCGCCATTGAACTCCGGATCCATGGCTGCTTGGAAACGGTGCAAGAATTTCTCTGACATAGATGTATATCTGTAGACTAGCACATTGTGTACATGCATTTAGCCTTAGAGATCGTAGCCAGAAGGTTTGGTTAGACCGCATTCCCTTAGAGACAGAGCATTCCATGTACATTAGTCGAATAAAGAACATCAGTATTCACATTCATGTTTACCCCCACAATCAATTTTGTTTGAAGCATGTAAAGGGTTGAGGCCATAACTGATGTATAGTACAATGTCTCTCTTCGTCGGCATTTTGTCCTTTTAGCTAGTTTGTTGGAACCGATTCGATGTAATCAGATTGCTTTGTGTGAGCAAGTACACTGTACACATAAATCAGAGGCAGAGTTAAAGAAATTTTTTCCTATTCTCTAGCTTTCGAGTAACGACGAAAAGGCGGGGGCATGAACGGCATCCACGGGCCACCTCGGTGGATCTTACTGATGGCTTAAGCTGTTGAATGGATATAGTTCCTTTTATTTCCTCCGTTTCAATCATCGCTCCCGTCTTATTTTTGCTTGAACATGAAAATGCAGGCGGGGCGGGAAGGTGAACACCTTCTCAGATGGAAGACAACGGCGGGTAGGCGGCTCTTCGGGCGATGCGGTGATATTACCGGTCGATTAAGCACCGATGCTTGCGTACCAACAGCCAAATACTTTTTTCGCCTAAGTTCCACTCGAACGTAGAAGTGCTCCTTAAGACAACCTTTTTGAGAGCGTGATCCATTTTGCTACAGCAAACGGTAAGTTCTCGAAATTTTGCGGACATTGAAAGTGAATTCCGACAATCTTGCGAGCCGAGGCAAAAAAACTTACGACGAGCCCACGGCCATGAATCGGTGCGTAAGATCAACGCTCAGCTCGCTCGCGAATAAAAAGGACCCACCATCACCACCAAACGCGCTCTCCCTCATCTCTCTCCTCCCGTTCAATGATCGCCCGCTCCCTCGCGTTTCGTTGCGCTCTCTGCATCGCGCGGGGATCATCAGGCTGAAAAAAAGGAGGGATTTTTAGGGGAGGGGGTGGGTGGTAGTGGGATCCAGGTGCGGCGGGAGGAGGGGCGGGTAGAGGGAGACGGATGGATCCAGACGCGGTGGCGAAGGCGTTCGTGGAGCACTACTACACGACGTTCGATGCGAACCGGGGGGGGCTGGCGAATCTGTACCAGGAAGGGTCGATGCTGACGTTCGAGGGTCAGAAGATCCAGGGGTCGCAGAGCATCGTCTCCAAGCTCACCTCCCTCCCCTTCCAGCAGTGCCAGCACAGCATCACCACCGTCGACTGCCAGCCGTCCGGCCCCGCCGGCGGCATGCTCGTCTTCGTCAGCGGCAACCTGCAGCTCACCGGCGAGCAGCACGCCCTCAACTTCAGCCAGGCGAGCCCCCCTCTCTCTCCTCTCCTCTCCGTTCCGTTATTCTCTGTTGCCTTACGTGAACCCCCGCTTGCTTCTTTTTTTGAGTTGCTAAATCTGGTATTAGTAGGGTTTGATTCGGAGTTGTCGGAACTTGTCTGGAAGGTTGTCCTTTGTTGATTGATGTGCGTGTGCGTGTTCGTTGATCTATTGGAGCTGTGGCTGTGGTTGAACCTGTTTTGTCTGACTGTGTATGTGGATTTCAAGGTCAGTATGATCGATCGGGTGTAGGTTTTGTTGTGTGGTGACTGCTGACTACTGGAGTGGAGTTCGTATCAGCGGATCTGCTGGGAGTGCAATTCCTCGTTTTGGGTCTTTGATAGGATGATTGATAGATGCAGATTATTGCAAGTGCTTGGTTATGATTACTTGATGAGTACCTCTTTGCTCTTCCTATGATCCTGTGGTGAAGGATGTTCTAAACATGTCTTGGGGAAACGGTGCTAGATTTCTCGGACTGGCTCATTATCAGTTAGGACTATCTTTCCCTATTATCTTTCTCCATGACACTGATATGGGTTGGGCTGTTAGCTGTTTCTGATTGAAGCTACTGAGGCTTAATATGGCTCTAGGGCTTGATTGATGTCGATGATATGGAAGTCAACAACTCGGAAAAATGTGAGATCATACAATGTTCTGCGAAATTCGTTCTCTCTCTTTAACTACTTGATTAAAGACTCGGTGGAGGTTATGTTGATTGCCGGAAGCTACCATGCATTATGGTCCCGACCCCAAAAATTTTCTTCCCAATGTCCAAGCGCAATGTCAGGGGCTGCGGCTTTGGCAAGATATTATCGCCATCCTTATTTTGCTGCTCGACTCGTTGATTGTACGTGGTGATAACATAGCTGCGATACATTGTCAATTTGTTGGGTTGGTGGCCGAATCATCATGTCGGATGAAGAATGAAGACCCTGCGTAGGTTCTCTTTTGGAACGTTCTGCTAATTTCCGGAGTGTACATCCGATTCTCCATGACAACATGCATAGACACCTATATAAATCATTCAACCACACGGTAAAAACAATTGTTGATGACCAGCTATTTTGAGGAGAAAAAAAAGGTTTGGTCCAATAAATTCAATGCCACAAAAGGCTTATATGATACTTTAACAGACCAATAATAGCAAGCATGTCGTTTATTCAAGAGACTCCAGTCAAATCACTGTGAACCACCGCACTTGTAGACTCAAAGGGAGACCTGCATTGCTTTGTAGGTTGTTCATACTTGCTTGGGATTCTGCTTGCTCATTAGCAGTTGATTGAGATTCTGGTGTTGTCTTCAGCGTCGGACCACTAATATCAGTACCTGTGATCCTTAATAGTCTAGCCTTCATTTGCTGTTGTCTGCAAGTGTTTTGATGGAATTGAAATCACTGTTGGGTAGGGATGGTAGGTGACCGCCTTCTTGGCTCTTTGGTTTGTTCATCTTTTAGAGTTGGCATCTGCTGACTAACTGCGGTCGTTGCAAGTTTTTTTCAATTGCTATTGTGGTATCATCCATTTTTCTTGCCGTTATGAGTGCTGTTGGTTTTAGTCTCCGAATGGTAATTCTCTTATGATTGCCTGCAAAAAAATGTCTTAGCTTGCTGGATGATATCAGTCCTTGTTCCTTGCAGTCAACTATTTCTTGACCTCATTCTCTACGTGCCTTTTTTTTTTCAGATGTTCCATTTGATGCCGACGCCCCAAGGAAGCTTCTATGTGTTGAATGATATCTTCCGACTGAACTATGCATGAACACAACATGGGCTTCTTGTCCACAAGAAGTATCTGTTGCTTGGATGTCAAGATTATACGATCCATATGATTGCTACCGTCTGGTGCTTGAATTTTAAATTGCATCTGGTTTTTTTTTTTTTTGGAAGGTTGCGTTTAGCATCATCCAGTGTTCTCTGTCTCTTGAAGAATATGGATTTGTTCATGGTGATTGGTTGAAGTAAAAATCGCTCTTCTGTTTATTCCTGTATTAAGAGTTTGATAGAATCGTTTTACCTTTTTTCTTTTGGCCAAAAGTTTGGTCGGGTCAAGCTTTGAAGTTTTGAGATACATGTTGCAAAATTATCCAACTTTGGATTTGCCAGCATTGCAAGTTTGTTCTCTCTACCGTTTAATGCTGCCGGATAGTCTGTCAGTTTTCTCATCGACAGTGTGTGGCTTGGTTGTGTGTGACGCGTCGAAACAGATACAGTCGCAGCATGCTTTAGTGTTTTGCCCAATTGTATCGCCAGCATGTCCATTGCTGCGAGCAAACCTGCACCTGTCGAGTGGTCAGGCATGATTTCTTTCCTGGTTTGTTCTGCAGTTGGTCCCCGTAATCTTTCAGCGGGTCGAAACGTCGAGCATATCTAATGTATTCAAGCTCGTATGCCAAAAGTGACCACAAAATCCCATGACGCTGATCATGGGTACGAGGAAGCAACAAGTCACAGAGACACACAGAGCAACCTCAAATGAGAAACATCAAGGTAGTGCCTCCCAAGAAAGCTGAACATTTTCCAGATGTCCCTATATTTCAAGCACTTCCAGGGGAATGATTTCCACCGTTTGGAATCAGATCGGGTACATCTAAATGCGGAAGCTCCGGCATCTTGAGAGGAGGTATTCCCATCGTCTCGCTTTGCCTCTGGTCGGCGTCCTTGTCCGCGTCGTCTCGGCCTTTCATGGCTGGGCCTTTGAAGAAGTCGGTTATCGCGCTCCCAAAGGACCTGAAGGGATGGCTCAGGCCATCTCTCACCTTCAAAATGAGGGACACCTCCGAGAATTGCCAAGCGACGGTGAGCGCGATCATGGCCGAGAGAAGCCAGTGCGTCACCGTGTTCTGCCTTTTCACCTTCTTCAGCTCTCTCATTATCTCCTCCGGCGAAGCCTCCATCTCGCCGCCTTCGTTCTCCTCCTGAGCTTCAAGTTTAACTGCCTCGATCGCGGCATCGCTCTTCGCCTTGACCTCGTCGGCTGCAACCCCTGTATCTGCCGATGCCTCAGGTTTCTCGATCGCGCGACTTGCTTTCAATGATTCCACCTGCTTGAGCGACAGGGCAGATAGTTCATCACTTCACGGATCCTAAGCTTCTTAGACTTAACAGAGACCTCAAATTTAAGCACAAATTCAGTATAATATATATAAACAACCCAGCTCTGGCTAATCACTTCCTCGGCGAAAGATATGCCATTAGGGTCTGTCCTAACGTATTTGCCCAGGAAAGCAAATGAAACTTGACTTGGGTCTCGGTTATTGTTCATGGGGCAGCGGGCCAATGTCATCAACTTATCTAAATGTACAAGAGACAAACCGGATATACATCGAGCTGGGATTGACTTTACCTGAGAGAGCAATTTGGAGAGGAGCAGGTGGTCGTCGTCGTCGTCGTCGCTGGAGGGTTGTAGTTGTCGCTTCCTCTTCTCCTCCTCCTCCGTCGTCTCCTTCTTATCCTGAAGTAGCCTCTGGATTGCGGCTTGAACCAGTTCGAGATCAGGGTTTGGGTTGGTTTCCATGTGTCCCGCTGTCTGATACCCAAACGATAATCCCTCCCTCGGCTTCTTCAGTTCTCTCTCCTCGCCTCGATCAGTCTCGATACAGCCCAGCGTAGCCAGGCAATCTGTGTGGATGAGGTGACGCGTGGGGGCAGGCTATCTCGATGTGTGCATTTTTGTCCTTTCTTCATTTTGGACTTTCTTATGGCTTCTTTAATTCTCTCTTTTCCCTCGAGATTGAAAAGTTCCTTTTAGGATGATGGTACTAGCGGCCTCTATATCATTTCAGTTTTGTTCAATATCATCCATTTGACCTTATTTTTTTGGTCTAATATGATCCCTGACCTATTCCTTTTAACTCAATTTAGACCTTTCGTTAAAATTGTAATTGGAGATTCTAAACGTGATGAGTTGGGATGAAATCATGAAAAAACGAAAAAAGAAAAAAGGGTTAATACCACGAAAACCCCGAATTGGTACACTTGTGACAATTTTACCCCAAACTAATTTTTTGATCACAAAAAATTCCAAACTGGTACGCCAGCGATAAATTTACCCCAAACTAATTTTTTGACTACTGAAAACCTTAAACCGGTACATTTGTAACAAATTTACCCTCCGTTAGTTTCCGTTAAATTGGATTAATACCACAAAAAATCACAAATTGGTACACCTATGACAAACGGAGGGTAAAACATAAGACTGGAATATCAGTCAATTGCCGCGTATAATTTAACAAAGCAATTTGACAGTAAAATAAAGGAAACAAGCTGAGGGTAAATTTGTCACAGGTATACCGGTTTGGGATTTGTGGTGGTCAAAAAATAAGTTTGGGATAAAATTGTCATAGGTATACCGGTTTGGGGTTTTTCGTGGTATTAACCAAAAGAAAAATCACAAATCCTAGGTGATTATGTGAGAGACAGTAGAATGGGGAAGTAATGGCAGCGAGGGCCAGCGAGTAGTTGTTGGCTTCCGGCCGGCAGTGAAATAAGGCCGCCATCAAAGACCCGCACAAAAGATAGGGACAAAATACAGGGAGATAGAAAGACAAAAGTGGTGGTGGTGGTGGTTTGCAATCACCACCTAGTCTATTTGAAGTCGGGGGGTACTCAGGCTCACTCCGTCCCAGAACGTGATATGGTTGAATTTAAACGACTGTGTTCGAGTTATTTTCATGTTGTGTTTTCAAGGAGGCGATGCCATATCAAGCTACTCTTTAACGTTTCGTTGTCTCGGGAGGAAAAAATTTGTCCATAAGGCTCTTTAGGAGATGCAACTACTCAACCTCTCTATTCCGGGGAAGTCCCGTTCTCGTCTTGTGTTGTACATATCGCTTATCGTCATTTGCTTATAGCACTTTGATCTTATTACAATCTACATTGAATCATAATAATTGAATTCGGCAAACGCCGGTAACTTTTGGGACATTATGCGCCCAGATAGACTCGCCGCCGATTGTGGCCCCGCGACCCCAAGCGGCATGAGCCTGGCTTGGGATCGGCGTGCCCTTTTTTCAATTAAGTCTTTTCTTTTGTGCTTTTATCTCTTTTGATATCTTATTTTTGCCAGTTTGGATCTATGTATTTTGTTTTATCTTTTTTTACAGAAAATTACAGCCACATAGGATGATAGATCGGACACTTAGCAGAAAACTTAACAGTCACGTCCGGTTTCCATTTACCTTTTTAAACGTAACGACCGATTCGAACGACGGAATGTATAATTGAGCGACCACATTGACATTAGAAAAAGTATAGAAATGATATCGAACAATTCAAAAAAGTATGCGGGCTGACAGTGCCATATTCCTGTAATTACTTTCATTTTAAAAAAGTTAAACCTGACGACGAACTTAAATTCTTTTCTTAAAATTCGGGGAAAATCAATCTTTAAGTAAAAGAAATCCTGAACTCTGAAAGATGGGAGAAAGCAAAATGTGAAAGTGAAGAATTACTCTGTTTTGACCAGTTAGTGTTTGGTTTGGACGCAGAAGATTCGATGCCCCTTTTGCAGTATTTCTCGCGCAAGAACTCTGAAAGCCTTGTGGCCCTCCGGTCCGGTGTGTGGAGCTTGACCTTCTTCTGCATGGGAACAAGATAGTCTGCGTGCATTTGTGAAGATTGGTCGAGCGAATGCCAATAGACGAACGACAATAGTAGACTCAATTAAAGAGGAGGCAAAATCTGTAATTTATAAACTTATAGGGAAAAATATATAAATCTAACTTGAAATCTGGAAAAGAAAACGTTCAACGTACATATGAGAATATCTTACACATATACATGGATGATGGTTAGAAATGGTTCCATATAGAAACGCAAAAGAAAGAGGGTCATGCTGTTTTGAGTCTGGTAGATGATCGTATTACATCAAGCAATCCAGTTCTCCTTTTCATGGCGAGTTCTTAATTCCAGAATCGCGACTTAAGTGATTGGGGACCAAAGTCGAGTCGAGTCGCGTCGAACCGCAATGTCGGACCAAGAACTCTTCGACAGAGGTTTCTTAAATCTGTTGCAACTGAAGCAATGGCCTGTTTCATTTTGCTTGGACATCACATATTCTGTTGGAACAGGAAGCTAAAGAAACCGCAGCAGCAATCAGCCTTCGTGTTATACTCCACTTAGCAAGCATCCCACCCCAAGTTATCCTCTTCACGTGCCAAAACATGCTTATGAATCAAAAAAGTGACTTGCCTCTCCTCTGTTTTTCGAATTGCCAGCTCTTTCTATATAAGTACCACGATCTTCCAAGATAACCTGCGTAAAGAAAAAAAACAAAATCAGCTTCCAAACTGTCGAGTTATTTAGAGAAGTGGTTGATTGATTAGAAGTGACTGCGAGAAAGATGGAGAATTGGGGCCCGGTTTTGGTGTCGGTGTTGCTATTTGTGCTCTTGACTCCGGGTTTGCTGTTCCAGATCCCCGGAAAGCAGAGATGGGTGGAGTTTGGCAACTTCCACACGAGCGGTGCGTCGATCATGTTACATTCCCTCCTGTACTTCAGCCTCGTGTGCGTCTTCTTGCTCGCCATCAAAGTTCACTTGTACCTGGGTAGAGTCTGGGGTCAGAGCGTGCCAAATGATATATGTTAGCCTAAGCGAGTTGTGACGGCGACACAAATGATTTGCTTTTGGCTGTCTTGAGGGGTTACTATTTTGGTTTTGCTTTCTTCATGTTTGTGATTTGCTGGGGGCCTTGTGATGTCTTGTTCTTTGCTGAGATTTCTCAGCAAGAGCGGCTGGAATTTGATTACATTATAAAAGCTCTGCCATTTAATCTGCTTCTTAAAATGTATTGAGTGTTCTCTGCTAAAAAAGCGTCATTTCGCAATGTGAAATGAACTCCTAATCAGTCGTCATGGCAAAGCAACCTATGCCAGCCTAAATTGCCGGTTAAACCGTTGCCAAGAGATCAGCAGATCAGCCCAGAACATCGATCCATCAAACAAAAGTTAACACGCAACTTTGCCATGATCATAACAACCATCAAGAAGCTTCAGGAAGTGTCTCGTCAGAAGTTCATGTTTCATATTCCATGCTTAAACATAAATATTCATCCGCAATGGAAAAAGCAAATAGGTTTTTCCCAAGGTCCAATGACCTCCTGCCACGTCTTTTGATGCCTCTGGAGAGAACCCAAAAAGGATGCAGCACAATAAATAAGTAAATAAAACACTGACCATGAGATTAAATTCCCCCATCAAACGACATTCCTTTGTTGCTGCTCCTGGATGCTCTATATTTATAGCGCAATGCACTGCTTTACTCGGTGCGTATTCCTTCTCTTTTATATGTACACGAGAGACCTAGAGCACATCGTTGAGTTAACCAGGAAGCAGGAGCAGGAGGGGGAGGAGCGAAAGAAATGGCGGATTGGGGACCGGTGGTGATAGCGGTGGTGCTGTTCGTGTTGTTGAGCCCGGGCTTGGTGTTCCAACTACCGGGGAGATTCCGTGTCATCGAGTTCGGGAACATGCAAACGAGCGGGTTGTCTATACTTGTTCACACCGCCATCTTTTTCGGTCTCATCACCGTCTTCTGCATCACCCTTGGTGTGCACATCAACACTGGATAGCCATCGTTTCGCTACCTTCCATCTCCTGTGCCGCGTCTCGTCGATTCCTTATGGTACTTGCCGCTCTAATGATCTGACCATTGAGACGAGTTATGAGTCTTACGACTAGGGTGACCATATGATGCTGGTTATTCACATTTCACATTACTTTTGATTTGATGCTTTTGGATACGAGTGGTTTGATGGGTTCTAAGGACTTGGTTATTCTTGTCATTTGCTAATAATTCCTACACAGGATGTATTGGTGTATATTAGTTCAAATCCGTCTGGCGCTGGAGCGTGTGCTATCATCAAACAGATAATTTCAATATCACACTGATAAAGCACCTTCAGTATGCTCTTGCTAAATACTGTACAAAACTTGCTAATTCAAGCCAATTCATGATCGACCACTTGATGAATTTCATAATCAAAGTCTTTGTATCAAGTGAATCGTGATTGCTCATAATCATCAAAGTAGTTCAGTGCAAAAATAGTATGAATCTCCAGGACAGAGCTTGAGTTTTGTTCTATGTTCTCTTTTTTTTTTTTTTCAGAATTAAAGGATCTCCATTTTTCCGACCTTGGCCTTGACTCTAACATCATTCAAAATGCCGCGTATCTTGTCGTCAAATGTACCTGGACGGTATGCACGGTTCATCGGCCGATAGTTTCAGTGTTCTACAAAATCAAAACTTTCTGTCTTTCGAGTTCTTAGGCCACATTGCTAATGATGATGAGATAGTGTAAAAACTTGGGAGCAAGGGCTGTATGCTCCAGAGCCTTTTCCCCAAACCATCGTCTTATTTGTGTGGCAAGCTAGCTCTTATCAATAGAATATCAATCTATCAAGATCTAAAGAATCCCTTAAAGGGGACACCTTAGAGAAGCCGGTAAGAAATTGAAAGCAAAGCTTCTGGCTCACTCTTTGTCCCACTACTTCTTTCCAGTCCACAATTGAAGTTAATACCAAACAGACAAGACGCAACAGAACACGATACCTTTATACCCGTGCGAACGACTAAACGATTTATGTGGACACTCCTCGATCTGGAGACGATCCCTTTTATGAACTTGTCGACATCGA